TCTCTCTCTCTCTCTCTCTCTGTGTGTGTGTGTGTGTGTGTGTGTGTGTGTTGCCCGTTTGTTTCAATGCAGAAACTGGAATGGATCTATTTGCATCATACATGCGGCGCATCGCGATGCGCTGCACCGCGCACATGCGCCGCACCGCACATCACGCACTACGCGCGCGACTGCATGCGGCGGACCTCTAAAAATGGGGGTCGAAAAAAAGAAAAGGTTGTGAGGGGCGGAAGTAGACCCGGCCCCCTGCTCGCATAAAATAAGAAACGTGCACCCAATTTTTTTTTTCGAGGCCGCGCGTTGGCCCGAAAGCTTTTAGTAAAACCTGTAGTCCGTGTAACACTCTGTGTGTATGGTACGGTTCTTGCAGGCCAGATTCAGTCATGATGAGGGTCGCGATCTCTCAAAACGTTCGCTTCTTCTTACTTCTGAAGTAGGAAACGACGGAACTGACAGCCCTTTTTCCTGGAGTTTTTTCCTAATAATAAAAAGAAGGGAAAATTTGTCTGGCGCCCCAGTATTTTCCATTTATTTGCGTTGCGCCCTTCCGACATGCGAAATACCCTGCCGCGCCCCTGGGCCTGAAAATCTTTCAGTCAGGCCCCCGTCGGTAGTGGCGCAACTTTCCATGAGGCCCTCCCTCAACCGGCGGTCCCATTTCATTGGGCTATGTGCCATATGCCCTCGTAAGGAGCACCCACCTTCCTGTGATTCCCCTGCAGTAGTTTGGCGCTGGAAATTTGAGTTCAATTTCGAACAGCGTTCTTGTTGACGCGCCGCCGCCATTTTTCTTGACGCGCTCGTGAAGGCCAACCTCTTGTCGTCTCGTTTTCGCTGGCCGTCTACCATCGCAAGGTGAGTGTTCACCCCCTCTTCGTTTCCGCTCGTCGTCGACGCTTATGTGTGTGTGTGTGTGTGTGTGTGTGTGTGTGTGTGTGTGTGTGTGTGTGTGCGACACGCACACACACACACACACAGATACACACACACACACACACACACAGATAGAGATAGATAGATAGATAGATAGATAGATAGATAGAGATAGATAGATAGATAGATAGATAGATAGATAGAGATAGATAGAGAGAGAGAGATAGATAGATAGATAGATAGATAGATAGAGAGAGAGAGA